ATAGGGGCCTTTGGGGGAGGAGGGGGTTCTGAGGGGGGCCTACAGGGGCCAGTTGTGGATCATGGGTATGGGGGGGCCATGGAGAAGGAGGGGGCCAGAGAGAGGCCAGGTGGCACTGGGGTGACTGGGACGTGGGGGCCCTGCTGGGGTTGTCCTCAAGGGTCCCAGCTGGAGACCTGGGACCGGACAGGTCCCCTGCAGGCATAGCTTAATCTGGGAGCGGATCAAGTTCAACTGGTGCAGAAGACCAAGTAGTTACGAGTATATCGAACTGAGACTTTTAAATTTACTCGTCTCTCTTATTGTATTTTTTTTCGCTTGTGCAGGGGATAGTTGCGAGCAAGTTTTTCGTAACTTCTCCTTAATGGAGTTGTGGTCCCTACCACAGCCTCTGCTCTAGCCCAGCTGCCCCGCGCCGCCGGGCCAGGATCTGGCTGGCTTCACCTTGTCGCCAAAAGCCCCTGGTTAGGTGTAGTTCTGCTGGCGAAATGGCATCATTTACCGTAGCTTATCCCCAAGGTGGGGGATGTTTTGGAGTCAGCTGTACGAACAAAAGCATAGCTTTACTTGTGTTAGCATGTCCCGGAATAAAAGTGTCTTTAGCATGATGTTAGAGTTTTTAACAGTGACTTTCCTGAGAGAGACCTGGCTGATGGCGTTGCGTCCCCTTCAAAGGGTTTGCTGTGCAGCTGTGCCGGTGGCATTATGCAGGCAACTCCCAGGTGATGCTGTTTTTGCTAGCAAAGACTCTTAAAATGAGCAAGAACAGTGCTGAGAGTAAGGGTTTTGCTGCTGTGACCGTGAAGGGGAAGTGTTTTAGATGCTTTTTTTTTCTTTTCCTTTTCACCTCTTTCCACTGTCTTTTTCTAGCTACTATTGCTAATAAATGTTTCTATTGTAGGTAAGGGCACAGTCCTGCAACAAAAATGATGTTTAAACTCCTAAGTCTCTTAAGTACTTGGGGGAGATGGGGAATTCTCCACTTTATTCTAATCATGGTGAGCTGTAACTCATCTGCAGTCATGAGAGAGAACCTGTGACACTCAAGACACTCTTGCTCGGTTTCTGTCTCTTGCTACGAGCACAGAACTGCTAATTTTGCAGTAACTGCTCCTGCTGCTATCTACGATATAATAATCTTGAGTCCTTCAAAGACTGCTTGTGTGTGCAACAGATAGACAAAAAGAAAAGGGCAGGAAATCCTCCCGAGAGAGGAAAGAGGGACTTGAAGTCGCCAGTGCGCAGCACAGATGTTTGGAAAAAGCGTCTCTGTCACTTACTCCAGCAGTAGCGAAAGGCCGGATTCCCCTCTCGTAGTGCGCTGGGCTGAAGAGTACACTGGCCCTTTCCCTATTTCCATCCTTCTTTGTTTAAAGCCCCTTTCCAATCTGGAACTCTTCTGCCAAGTTGCAGAGCAGGGGGGATTTTTATTAGATGTCAAATTCCCCCAGCCACCTGTTTATCATAGTCCCGGGGGCTGCGCCCTTGCACTCTGCTTCCTTTGCAAAGCGTCGGGCTTGCTTCCAAGGCCCTGCGTTCATCTGGTTTCTTGGACTGTATATTCCAGATCTTACATTCACTTTCTGTCTTAGTCATGTGATCGTGAAGTGAACTCGAGTGGGAGGGGGACAGTTTATAACCTTCTTAAATTTCCAGAAAAGGAGGAGAAAGGTGCTGTGGCTGAATTCTTGCCAGATTGGTGTCGTGGAACCAAATCATGGTGCTCCAGGTTTCCACCAAAAAGTCGAGTCCAGACTGTGGCATGCTGCGTACGGAGCTGTTTCGCTGCCATCTGGCACACCAGTCGGGATTTGAGGTGCTCTTTGGGACATATTACTTACTTAAGGTTGCACTGTTGACTGTGGCAGAGCCAGGTACTGGGCATAGGCTCTCCTAGCAGTTTCCGTGCGGTTTAGGTAGCAAATTTGATGTGTGCTCAGCATCTTGAGTGAATCCCTGCTTAGGGGCTTCAGCCTACTGCAGGAACTGCTTGCCAACTCCTTTGTTGGAGACATTTGGGTCTAACGCGATTCTTGGTGATCAGATGTGAAGCACTGTACAAACTGAAATGGCATGATGAGCCCAGTTTATGAAGGTCGGACTATACTGACGCATACAACGTTTTGTAACTAATGGTTTTGCTGTAAACAGGCCGGAGATCTCTATGGCTGCAGTACACCCAAAAAAAAAAAAGTTTTCCTTGTCAGCAATGAAAGCGTGTGTGGTCAGAGAAGGCAGATTGCAAAATCTAACCAGTCCTGGATGCAAAGTTCAGATTAGTGAGAAGAATTGCCATGAACTTCTGAGTTTTAGTTTGTTACACGACAAGGAAGTATTTTGTGATGCTTGAGCCATAAACGCTACTGTAAGTGGATCCATAACCAGCTTTGCTGGAGGTTTAGCAGATTATCGTTAGAAATACGAAATATCCAGCTAATGCTTTCACTAAAGAATGTACCTTACGCTGCATGTTTATCCTCTGCTCTCTAGATGCCTCTTGGAGGCAGAGTTATCTGTGACTCCTGTTTTGGTGTGCTTTTTGCTTCCCTCTGCAGCTCATGTTATGCTAAAAGTGCTGTTTTGTTCATGATGAAATGATAGAGGGCTCTTGGGTGAATTGTTGCTTTGAGCAGCCAAAGCAGACTGGGAGCAGGGGAAAGGAAGCGCCTGTTAATCCACGAGGGAGGAACAGACGTGGCGAAGGCCAGAAAAAGTCCCAGTGCAGAAAGTCATCAAACTGCGGCAGCTTTTACTTCTTTTAGAAAAGTCTTTATGAAATCACAAGGTGCTTGAGGTAATTTTTTTTTTTCCCTCCAGTCAAAGAAAAGGCAAAGACTGTGACACTGCCACGCACCCAGATGTGCCAAAGGTCTTGCAAAGCTGGATTTAGGGCAGTGCCCTGATTTAAAAACCCTGTTGTGAACGCTCCTGGTGTTTGCCGTAGCCCTCGCGGGGACAGCAATGTTGTGTTTCCAGTGTGTGTTGGCATAGATCTCCTTAACGTGCACTGCCGGGTTTGTCAGCAGGCCTGCCGGGGAGCTGCCCTCTGCTACTTGCCGCCGTGGCCGGCGAAGGAGGTGTAGGAACTCCGTAGCCGTCCAGCCCCAGGTACAGGGTGGATTTGAGTGAATCAGGGCTTTGGCTGTATGCCCAAGCTTTGGTTGCTAGGAAGTCGGGAACAGAATATAAGCTAGAGCAGTCCAAAGGTTGTTTTAGTTTGAAGCAGAACAAGGTTTATCACTGTACTGAAAGCGAATTTAATTTTTCTTGGTCTTAACTGCAGGCCTGTTTTGAAGTCTTTTCTGTTTGTTTGTTTTTGTTTTCTGGCAGTATGGCAGGAGGTCTTATGATGTGGTTAGTCTTGGGGTGATCTCTAGCCCCACATCAGTGGGCTCGTTCCTTGTCTTTGCTGCCTGGAGGCATGCAACGTGTTGGGTTACTGCCATATCTCCTCGTGGAGGGGAAGGGCAAGCCTCGTGGGTATCTGCTTTCAGGGAGAAACAATACTGCTTTTGTTTCAAAAGCATGCTATTAACATGGAGAGAAGATACAGTTATCAGGGGAATTAGCCCCACCATGGGAAAGGGTGGCCTTGTGGCCAGCTTGTGCTCTGGTTCATCCTCTCTTAAGAAGCTCATAGCTGCAGGATCTGCTGTGATCTTGAACCTGCAGACAGGCTGCTAAAATAGTGCATGCTGCTGTAGTTGTTATATCGGCCAAAGACAAACTTCACGCTCCAACTCAGTGCTACTTCCCCCGCCTCCCCCTCGGGTAGGTGGAGATCGCAAAGTAAGAGTAGATGAAACTGCTGTTTATTTAAAATCCCGCCTGCACAGAAAGGACAATGCTGTGGAGGCAGAAAGAAATGTGTAGTTCACAGCGTAGACTTGATAAATGTCACGCTGCTCCTTGCCAACCCTTCTTGGAGGGACAAAGCCAGGCTGAAGGAAAGGTATTCCTGAATGAGCCAGCTTCAAAATATGGCCCTCCAGACCTTGAAAAAAGAACTGCTCTTAACATGCCATCAGCCACCCACTGACTGCAGTTTATCCTAGAAATACTTGTCTGCACAGTTAACCTGTCTCCTAGAGTCATGACCCAGCTTGTCAGCTTAACGCAGCATCTGCAAAGCCTGCAGCGAATTAGCTCTGCCTTCACATGCAGCTGTGATCCAGTCATATACGCGTAAGTGGAATCTGTGGAAATTTTCCAGAATATTTGTAATTCTGACATTGCAGTGGACACAAATGTCACGTAAGAGGAGGAAAAACCTAGGTCCTAAATCAGTAATGCTTGGGGGGTCTAGTAGCTGTTCCTGTTGCACTACAATAATTTCTAGGTTTTTAAGCAATGATTTTTCCATTACCTAATCTAGTATCTGACCCCTTTGAGGAAGGGAAAGTTAAAAGCGTGACCTTTTTAAAAAGTTACTTTCTCGTGTGGCTCTTTAACCTTCTGTGGTTACTGTTTGGACTGCCCGGAAGACCAGATGGGGACAGTCTAAGCTGGAACTTCAGTCCTCTCTCATGCTGAACTTTAAAGGTAGTTCAGCCTTCCCTCTCCCCTTCCAGAAATGTTTATCTGAGCCCCGCTGATGTTTGTTCCTTTACCTGCCTTCCACAAGTGTCTTTGACATGAGCTCCCGTCATGCAGCACGTTTAACATCCCTCCAGCTGTTGCTGCCTTGATTGCTATCTGCGTGGTCCAGATCTAGATCTGGAGCTTGGAGTTGAGCGACTGATGCCTGACTGATGTCCTTAAACTGTCTGTTCCTCCACCCGGCTTGTGGTGGTTGAAAAACACCTCTTGCTCCTTGGTGACTTGGGCTTTCCAGGAACTGCTGCAGCACTTAGCTCTAGGATGAACAGAGCATTAGGGCAGGCAGTTGTCTGGTGCAGCTGCGTTGAAGCTGCTGCTCCTTGCACAAGCGGTTGTGAAGCTCTTCAGTTGTGCGTCCATTGCTAAAACGCCTCCTAACCCAACTATGGCTTTATTTAGCAGGCCTTTTTCCATTGTTATATAACCTAATTGGACTTTAAAATTGACCTGAATACATAGCAAACTTAAATGTGTGGCCTTTCAGGGGGGAGGGGGAGATGGCAATTCAAGGCCAATATAACTATTTTATGCCTTTTTATTGTGCTGTTTCCTTTTCTTATGTGCGTGCCCTCAGATAGGCTCTGCGTTTGCATGGCTTCAAGACAAGTAAACAGACTCTCTCGCTCCTAAGCGAGCCTGTTTCCTGAAAGCGCCTGGGAGATGTGGTGTTTGCATGGTTTCTTTCTTGGGACTTTCCAAATTGTTGCGCCGCAAATTTAAATTGCGGGGAGGGGGTGGACGACGACCAGCAGGACTTTCTTAAAACTGACTTTGTGAGGGCATATAAAGGGCCTTTTGTCTAACCCTTGGGAATTTAACATTTGAAACATATATTTCTAAATGGCTCTGTTAAGTTTGTTGTTAAGGCCACTACCAAACCAGTTTCCAAAAGAAAAATTTGGATGTTGTCCTGCGGAGCAACAGAATTAACTTGTTACTTTGGTGTAACCCTCTCAGAGAGGTTATAGATGTAACTCGGCCAAATCTGATCGCTCTCTTTGACTTAATGTTCTTTCCCTTCAGAGCAGCTACTGACTTCTGTTGCCAGTAGCGAACGCGGAGGAAAGCGAGAAGAAAAACGAAATGTTCAGGGTAACACAAGGCTATTGGGCAGCTTCTCCTTAGCTCTCTTTGTGCAGTAGCATTTTAAAGGAAACGTGCTGTTCTTGTCTGGCAACGTGGGAAGCTCTGTTCAGTTCTCAGCATGCTGAAATGCAGCTTCTGTGTTGGTTTTTCCAAATAAAAATGTGAGTCCCTTCACTGCGAAAGCGCGCAGCTCCTCACTGTCAAAAGAAGCACCATTGCAGGGTTTATAGAGGGGAATGATTTGCTTTTGGAAAAACATTGGCAGCTCCGTCCGCCAGAATAGATGACTCTGTGCCAGGCAGGAAGTTAGCCGACGTGGAAGTGCTGTCGAACAGAAGTTATGAATGGTCAGACGTGCCTGCTGTAAGCCAGTGGCTCAACCCTCGTGTCCTGTGAACATTTCTCATTGCATCTTGCCCTCGTTTACACAGTTAAAGTAAGCAGAGGGATAAACATTTGTTTCTTTCATTTTAAAGCCGTTCAGAGGAGCAGCTGGAAAGCTCATCCAGCAAAGGCAAGCAGTTTTGTGTGTTGCCAAACTTGCTTTAGAAGCACCACAGCTCGCTGTCATTAGTGGCAGTCCAGCCCTGCTTGCCGTAATTGGCCTGATCCTCGCTCTCCGCGTTGAAATTTCGCCTTTGATCGTGGCAAATGAGGAGCATCTTGCATGGAGACATAGAGTCAGTTTGAACTGCCGTGGGAAGGTTTATGTGTCCTCTGTTGGAAATTTTGGCCTGAGCGTCTGGATTAGCTGTGAAGAAAGACTAAAACTAGGCCAATGGGAAATGGGGGAGGGGGGGGGG